CCAAATACCTAATATGTAGCAGTTCATGAGTTTTATATTTCCTTGATTTATTCATAGGCTTTAACAAATCTAAAGTTATAATGATAATGTTTAAAGTTGAACACCATTTTTTAGAGACAACACGCACTAGAAAAGTCTTAAACAATCATTATGTGGTGGTACTGTCTTCACCTTCAGGAGAAGAGAAACACGGAGCTCTAGGTCTCGGAGGAGCCCGTCCTGGTTGGAGAGAGAGCATATAGACTGGGAGGCATTCCCTCCACCTAAACTTTTCAGCTTGTCCCAGCGTCTCGACCGACCACTGCCTCCTGGTAGTCCTGTTTATTCAGAGGTCGTCAGAGCCTATGAGAACAGAGGGTATGAGAGGTAAGGAAAATCGTAAAACATCTCTGTTTTAAAGAAATGAAAGAAATGCTCCATGAGCACCAAATCAGCATATTAGAATGATTTTTGAAGGATCACGTGACAAATTAACAGGAATAAATTACATTTTAAAATGTAAAAATAGAATACAACAGGAATAGCCTCTATATTCGTGGCACAATACGCCACTTATGTGTATTGCAACCCACATCCCGAGCCCACTCTCTACAACCACACCACATTTTTGAATATTATGTAATATGTGGGAGGACGTATAAAGCCATAAGACATACTATTAGATGTGACTTCTGTGATTTTGTGCATCACAGAATTCTCTTCGTCTTTCCACACAGGAGTCAGGAGAGTCTGCTGAGAGGCCCCCATAGCACAAACTCTACATACCACGCCAACAGCCAAATCTACCCGGCCCTTGTTTTCCAAAGGGTTCAAACTGAGCCAAACCCCTCCACCTCTTCTACCACCCCAGTTTACGTACAGATTTCTACACCTCCCAAAAACAAGACCCCACACGCTGCTACTGTCACCCACCCATAGACTTGTCTCAACAGGAATGCAAGCAAAGTAATTTTTCTCATCAGCAGCACTGAATGTGGCCAAGACAGTACGGACAAAATTGCACAGATATGTAGGCAGATTTAACTGGTTGGTATAACCAGAAGCACTTTGATATTTTTAATGTTGATGATGTCTTTTAGTATTTGCTATATTGTAAATATATTCCATTTTGAGGTGGACCTGGTTATTCTTGTCAGATCTTTGATAACACTAAAGATACATAATCCAACCTAACTGTAAATAGAAGTTTTGATGATATTGTAGTGTATGAACATAAAATGAAACCAAAATCTTTTTGTTTTGCACAGTTTAGAAATTTCCTAGTGGTGGTCAACTACCAGCTATTTTCATTATATTGCATTCATAATGTGTTGTAAAACAGCAATATATACTCTTAGTTAGAATGAGTCATTTGTAACCTAACTGTAAAATTTGCACTTTATCGCACTGATTCATTTGTAATAAATTGCTGTGTCAATCTATTTTTCTTGTGTCTTCATTTGAGTCTGGATGCCCTTGTTGATTTGTGTAAAATTTGCTATATTTGTTTCTCGAAACCAGAACACATGTGGTAAAAAAAAAAAATCTCTCTCATTTTCATACCATACGTTCCATACGTTTCATACCATACGTTCAATGAGCCTACTCAGAAATTCAAATAATTTTACTTAATTTACATGAGACAAGAAAAGGACGGTGAACAATAGAATCGATCTCGTTGAAAGAGAAGGTCAGTTTTAATGTCTCGACATTTTCAGTAACAACTTATTTTGCTTATTTTATTCACATCTTACTTCTGATATTTTGTAATTGTTTATACATTTATTTATTATTTGTGTGTGGGTGTGTGTCTGTATACATTAAATACATTCAAAAATTTGGGGTCAGTAAGATTGTTTTTAAAGAAATATATATGTTTATTCAGCAAGGATGCATTGAATTGATCAAAAGTGACGACATTTATAAAGTTACAAAAGATTTCTATTTCAAATAAACACTGTTGTTTATACTTTCAAATCAAAGAATTCTGAAAATGGAGTCCACAAAATTATTAATCAGCAAATGTTTTTGAATCAATAATTAAAATAAACGTTTCTTGAGCACCAAAATAGCAAATTAATGATTTCTGAAGAATCATGTGACACTAGAATGATGATTGCTGAAAATGGCACTTTCCCATCACTGGGATAAATTATAATTTTAAATATATTAAAAAATAGGGGGAAAGGTTATTTTAAATTGTAATAATACTTCACAAAATTAGATTGGACTTTCTAAATGCATGCATAAGCATCTGCATTTGAGAGTTCATTTAATTTGCCATGTTTTTGTACTACAAGCAATGTTCTTTGTTGTTTCTCTACAGTGCTCAGTCAACATGGCAAACATGACATCAAATGTAAGCAGCTATACAAGCGATGCTACAAGCGATATGCATCTGTTATTTCTTACCATTGTGGATAAGTGCAATGATGACGATTATTCCTATGTTCGCTTGCCACTAGAAATTTTAACTTTTGTGGTGGGCTTCCCAACTAATGTGGCTGTGCTATGGATGCTAGTGAGGTGCGAGAAAGGTCTATCACCCTCTGAAGTTTTGGGGCTTAATCTTGCCGTGCTGAACATCACCTTCTGTATCAGTCTTCCTTTTAATATGTACATTTCTATGACTGAACGCTCTGGACAGCTTTTGACTGTTTCAGAGGCCATTTCAATCCTCAACCTGATCAGCTGTCCTCTTCTCTTGACCAGTATGTGTGTAGAGCGCTACCTGGCCGTAGCACACCCAGTCCTCTACATAAAACTAGGGAATAAATGGAAGTATCGTGTTGTCTGCTTGGCTCTAATTTGGATTGTCACTTTAGGCGTTGCAGTGATTACCTACCAAGAAAGGCTCCCTAAATTAGCTATGTACTTGTCAATCACCCTTGATTCTTTCTTACTCATAATGCTGGCGTGTCTAACAGGCATTGTGCAAGTACTCCGCAAAAAAGGTCCGGGTGAAGGGCAAACTGGTGGAAGAGGTGGGTCATCTGTAAAAAACAGAGCACTGAATAACGCTTTGCTGATTCTGATCCCTTCAGCTGTTATCTATGGACCTCTCCTGGCTATCGCCTTACATGTTCACACTTAAGGATGGGGATGAAGAAATCAGTCACACACGCGGTTTAATCTTGAATCTGATGCATACCTTTCCCAGTCTTGGGACCTGTATTGGACCTGTGCTTTACATGTCACGCGCAAAACAACTAGCCTGCTGTAAGAAGAATCCTGAAAAAGAACAAACAACGACTTAAGACCTACAGCATCCAAAGTGAAGTTTCTATTATGGCTTATTTATCTGAAAAAATACATATAAAAACACTTCTGCTAGATTATTACATTGAAAAGTATGCATAATATTGTTTTGGTTGATATTTTGCTTGCTTTCAGTGTTGGGGAAGTTACTTTTAAAAGTGGTACATTGCAATATTGTTACTCCATAAAAAAGTAACTAATTGCATTACTGGGCTTGCTTATTTGTTTTTTAAAAACAAAAACCTCAAAGGTTATATTTTTGTCCCTTTCAAACCAATCACTCCCAATTTCTCTCAACACAGGGACAGGAGAGAAGTCAGGTAGAATAACGGTAAAATACTGTAAAAATGCTACAGTAAAAACCTGTTAAATGGTTAACGGTAAATTCCCCTACTATATACGGTGAAAAACTGTATTTGACATTACATGTATTGGACATTAATTTTACGGTAGTATACCGTTTTTGGTTCCCTGCGTTACATTTCAAATTTGATGTTTTTTTTGTTGAAATAACTATGTTTCTTCTTAGTTTTTTCTTATCAGTTTTGTATATTAGGGTTGTGTGTTACACCTAATGTTGTTAAATGAATGTTTATTGCATTATTTCAGTTTCATGTGTGTTACCATGATGGTGTTTAGTGTTTGTGTGAATGACACTGTGCACCTTCCATATATGTTATTATTTAAAAGCTGCTTGTGATGGGCTTTGGTTCATCATGTGACTTTCTCATCACCACCTGCATTTGGTGGTTATCAGTGCATTACAAAGGTACAAAACAGATTTCAATACTTTTACGGAATTTTTTTTACAGTGTGGAAGGACATCCGATAAATTAGACATGATTTACAGAGACTGATACTCATACAACAGAAAGATTGGATCATACAGGAGATGAGTTGATGAATGAGATACAAGTGGAATTGCCCAAAAAGAAATATAAAGAGACTGAGGAGTAAAGTACTCTTTAGATGCTTCTTGAATTAAGGATATCTGAAACCCTGTCACCAATACTGCTGATTAGAGTTTGATTATAGTTTAGCTGAAGTTTTATTTTGTTCATTAACTGCTTTATATTGTAACAAATAAAATAAGTCTCAACAAATAAGCACAAGGGAGTCTTCTACGTCATTCCTGAAGCGCTTTAACTTGCGGGCGGGTGAGCACTTATGGTTTAGGCCAGATTTGACTATCCTTACCCTATCTTAATATTCATAAGGTTAAAGTGAAAGTTAAAGTGTAAAATAAAAAGACACACCAAGACAACAATATGTGACAGGTCTCACTCTCCTGCTCCGTGTGGGTCTCGAACTCGGGTCTCCGTTACTAATATTCATAACTACATTCTTTAAATTAATTGAATTATTCTTTATCATACAATCATTCTTTAATTTTTAAATACTGTCTTTTGCCAGTGGACTCAACTTTTTACTGATATAAACTGTGAAATGAATTTAGTAACAGATGCTAAGTAACTATAGTAACTATTTTTACCTGGTTCTTACTGTACTTTTGGTTTTGCAGACAAACCGCAAAGAAAGGTAGGTAACTTATTTGTACTCATAGTCTACTTGATCATTTGTGTTAGTAGTAAAGTTTGTTAGTAGATGCATTTTTATTCTACCATATATAACAATAGGCCTACAAAAATATGTTTATTAACATTGGCTAGCTGAGGCGTCATAATCATTTAGCTTATTATGAACATGCATATTAACATAAACAATGTGAAAGACGATTCGAAAAGAAAATGAAAGCAGCAGAGACAGCAGTACGTACAACTTCCGTGCACGTAATAACGTACATACGTCGCAAGTATACTGACTGTCTCCAACTCTCAGGAAAACTTCACCCGATTTCCTGGTAAGTTTTGTTGTTTATTTTCTGTTACGTTAATAAGAGATCACATTGCTTTTACATTAGTTCAATAGACTCTATGTGGTCCGATTAAAGAATTAGAACCATGAAATGTGCGTTTTGCACTGAAATTTGCGGTCAGAGGAACTAACGTTAAACATGATCCGTAACGTCGAGAAAAGTTTAAACTGTAACGTTTGCTTCATAACTCTTTTCAGTTTAAAAACTGATACAGTGCAGTTAAAGTCTTTTTAGATATGAAATGTTAATAAGTTCACATCATTCGTTTTGATTTGATTTGATTACGTTTTTTACGGATGTGACATGTAACATAAGAAGTCAAATGTTCGGTTTCTTTATCTGATATGCAGAAGCCAGTGGTTGTTTCACATGATGGACGGTGACTCACTTTTAACAACTTGTAGTGATGAATATCGATTGCTTGAAACATACTGCCAGAAGAGGAGGAAGCCAAGCGCAAGAGCCTGTATGTACAGACTGGAGAGGGCACGATCTGATCAGACCAGAGAGATACTGTATTTGAGATCTGTGACTCTTTCTGAGATTATTATTATAACATTTATTCTCATTTTAATGTCATGTCTGTTGAAAATAGGTGATGAGAAATTTGGTGGTGTGGCTGAAAAACTGGCCCAGATTGCATACAACAGACTTCTATTTGATGAAGGACTAGAGCCAGACAGTCCTGGTAAAGTGTACTGTCTGTTATATAGGCTACAACACAATCACCAGGGGCCAGTTGCATAAACTAGCCACCATGTTAAGACTGTGTCTTAAGAACTAGTTTGACCAACTAGCAGTTGCCAAGGGGTAATCAGTCTTACTTTTCCAATACAAATAAGAACAATCTACCTTTTCATAACTGAATTTAAAAAAGTTATGACCAGTCTTGAAGAAAACAAATTAGGTGACTAACTTTTTAAGACTAGTCTAAATAGTTTATACAACTGGCCACAGATAATAAGTTAAAGTCATTGAAATATGATCTTCTATAACACTTTTGATTATACAGATTGTAATTCTGGTCTGTCCTAGTTGCGAAAGAGGCTAACTCAGATGTCATAGTGAGGCTTGTTGACTTGCTGAAGACATCAGGGGACGAATTGAATGAAACGGTAATCATCATGACCTCTTTACAGTCTGTAGTGTTACTAACTGATTAGTTTTGGTTTAGTGTGTAGTTCTAGATAATCCTCTTCAATTAAATACAAATGTACTTGTACTTATTTTGATATCTGGAACTTGGTGGAAACAAACCAAATGTATGTTGGGCTTCCTGTGGAAAATATGTGATAAAATATTAGGAATATCAATTATAAAATACTATAATTCTCATTAAAGAGTCACACGATTATGAAAATCAATTATAAAATACTATCTCTCATTTAAGAGTCACATCAAAGCGTTAAAAAAGCTGTTCAGTTTGTAGCCCTAAAAGCTTTTCCTGCTCTTAAGTGTCCCCTCTGCCTTCTCAGATTCAGAGCAGCCAAGAGCTTTCAGGATACCTGCAGCAAACTTTCTCTTACGACTTGTTTAAAAAACTGACTAAAGCCTTCATCACAAGTAGTGTACCAGAATTTCTGCAGAGCAGAAAAAAACGTGAGCAGATCGCCCTGGCCTTTGAGGTCACCAGCAGACTCAAAGCCCTGGACCTACACCCCATGAACAGGGTCATGGGATACGGAGCTCAGTACCTGCAGGAGAACTACGCTCCCTGGATTAAACAGCATGGTGGTTGGGTGAGAGTTTATGCACCAGTTAAATTTAGTAAAAAAAAAAAAACTGCTTCAAATAAATACATTTACTAGAAATGAATGCAGTTTACTGAATAAAATAATTACAATAATGCTCAACACACTAATTATATGTCATCTCTGACACACTATAGGAGAAAGCCTTTGATGATGATGATGATGAAGAGGTCCTTTGACAAGACTGTGAAATGGATGGTTATTAGTGATCAAAGTGATATTTATGAAATAAAGATATTATCTACTAAAATCTATATTTTATAAATCTATAATTTTTTATAAATATGTACTTGTTTATATACATTTAATATAAAATAACATTTTGTGTTACTAATGAAATGTGTTCTTAACTCATTGCTGCACACTTAAAAAAAAAAAAAAAACAGGCCAAAATATAATGCTAAAATATAATGCTTTATTATGGGAAGTTGGCTTTTCAGCAACAAATAAGCAACACAAACATACTCTTTACAAATAGAGAATGCCACTGGAATCAGAATAGCGCCTTGTGATTTTTACATATAGGCTAATTTTTTTTATTTTTTTATCATCTGTAATTACATATCAACTGCCTTCACTTGCTATGAGTCTTACGCACAACATTAGGCACAAAGAGGCAAAGACTACATAGATACTAAATACTTTCTTTTGCTTTGTTGTTTCTTTATTTGTTGTTCCTAATAATATCAATATTTCATCAATATCACTTTAATACATTGTAATGCTGACTGCATTTTTGAATGCCATGTGATGACTATGGTTGCAATCTTTCACACCTTAATTTGTGTGGCATACATCCTCATAACAAGGCAAGACTAATGGACATTTGGCCCAGATAATCAACATCACTGCAGATGTTACAGTATTAATGAAATTTGAATTGAAACATGTAAAACAGTTGCAGTTTTATTCTACAATAAAGCACTGATGATTTTGATTAGCTAGATACCGAGGTACGTGTTCATTTTTCCCAGGGCATCACAGACAGTGGTTAGGTCACTGCGTAGATCTTGAACCACGTTCTCAATGCTCCTGGTGTCCTTCAATAAATCGATGCTCTGGGTGTATGGGTTGTAGTAGACAGAAAAAGGCCTTTTTATTGTTGTAGCAAATTCCCTGTTTAGAAGGAACAACATTAATTGACATTATTAAGTCGAATTGTGGATTACTGTCCGATTTTACATTTGACTGAAAGGACATATTTACCTCATTTTCTCTTTTGCCTCTTCAAAACTCTCAGAGACAAAATAAACATCTTGAAATGTTGTAATGAGGCACTCCTGGTAGCATGTGGTTTTGGGATCAAACATCTTCACTGTTGCTTTGTCAGACAACGCATGCTGCATAATCAAAGAAGATATTCATTCACTTAAAAACGTGGCATTTTAATACATGAGGTGCTTAGATATAGTTAACAAAGGGCTTCATACTCTCAACTCTCCAATAGAAGACAGAAGACCTGCTCCATAGGCTCTCAACTGGCCATCTTGTTTGCAAAGTCCAAATTCAATTGTGAAGAAATAGCACTGGAAAAAAAGCACAGTGGTTTATTGCATATATTGCAAAGGCTTAGAAGCAAGATTATCTACAAGAAGTTTCTTCAGGCCCTTATGAGATATACCCACTCATATTTAGACCACCAAAAACCTTATACCAATATCTAATTGTCTCTCACGGAAGTCTGCCAGACAGAGCCAGTGATCTGATTTCAATGCAAATGCATGTGACTCGAACACCATAGATCAAACTTTATGCCATGAAAAACTTCAGTGACCTTTTTATTTCAGTATTGACTGCCAGTCAAGTTTGAGATGACATTTAAGAATTCAATAAGCTGCTGTCACACTTACTGTTGCCAGCTTCTGCACATCCTCGTCTGAAGCACCTAGAGATGCAAGGCCAATCTCTTGAGAAAACTGAGCAAACTTGGGATCGGCTAGGAGCGGTACATGACCCAACAGTTCATGGCAGGTGTCCCTGAGGACATAAAAACAGTTTACAGGTTAGAGGTGATGGAAGAAAAATAGTTTTCTACATAAAAATCATTGGTGTTGGTTTATACTCACGGTTCTGGTGTGTAGAGAGGATCAGTGCTGTGACGTATATACTGAGTGCAATTAAACACTCGATAAGCCAGACCGGCCAGGAAGTCTCGTGGTGACAGATATCCAGCCACAGGTCTTACGGTAAACCCTGACCTCTCTGCAAGGTTCACAAACAAAACCTCCAGATTAAATAGTGTTGACCTTTGAATTTAATGAATGCAATTAATGAAAGTAGAATTGCATGGATGTGACTTGATGCGACACATTTTTTACCTCGTAAGAATCGAGACACATCTTCCAGCTGTGGGATGTTGTCCTCTCTGTACCCACAATGCTTTGTGAGAAGAGGGAGGTTTTTTAAATACTCGCGGCAGGCATGAGTTGGATAGAGTTTTGCAAGTTCTCTGAAAATTACTCCCCATGTCTTCACTTCTTCTGGTGTGTACTCTATCCGTGGGATGGGCTGCCCACTGAAAATATATTCTGATCAATATTAAGTAAGAAATGAAGAAAAAAAAACTACAACTTGAAAAAAAAAAAAAGCTACAACTTGATTTTCATATTGTTTCCATTTATGTAACTGTATTATGCATCTGCTTTTACCTATTTTAGCATTTTCAACTAGCTAACAACTGAGCTACAAAAACCCAAAATCAACTACACAAGAATATAAACTATATTATATTCCATACTAACAATTTGTAGTTCATTGCAACCTCAACAAAGTACTTCCTCCTTTCCCGATACACTTTGTCTTTAAAGCCCTGCAACAAAAAACAAAGAATCACTTTACAATAAGTTTTCATTTTTAACCAGGGCATCATGAACAATTTTTACAGAATTAGTAGGTTAGTGGAAATTTATAAATGTACTGTTTTATGTTAGCTATTGCATTACTGAATATTAGTGTATAGAACCTTATTTCAAAATCAAGAGTAAACAGAGTATATTGTTTGTCATTGGGACGAGGTTTCATTCACTCCACCATTGAGCTACTTGCTAAATTTACTAAACAGATTTACTTACTGGATGGTCAGCATCCAGTTCTGAGCCGTACATTAGCACTCGATGAGAGCATTGGTCCAGCTCTGAGATCTTATGGGGAAACCATGGTATTCCTTCCCCATCTGGCAACCCACCCAAAACGCACACACAGTCCAAACAGTCTGGAATAAATACATCAGATGAATCAGTAACATTGTTACAAAGCCAGAACATAATTACAATGGCTATTCTAAGTTCAGGCTTACCAGTCTCTGCAGACCACACGTGTTGAGGTGTGTTATATGACACAATGTTGACGTGGTCTTTCAGGTGCTGCACCAACTCATTGAACTCTTTCTTTGAGCAGTTGCACTCTGCATAAATCTCCACCTCATTGGTGACTCTCTTGGATCTCCGAGACTCGATGTGGGACAAATTCACATGCTTCTCCTTTAAACATACAATGGCAAGATATCACTTTGGTTTCAATCAAAAGCCTATCAAAATGATTATTAAACAAGTACTATGCATTAGATATACTTATTAAAATATACTATTAATCTACCCCACCAGAAGATGAGATGCTCATTAACCTGAAAGAGCCTCAGCGCTTTCACCAGACAGCCCACTTCATTCTTCAGAGAGAAAATCACTGCTAATTTCCCAAGGTCATGAGTGGATTTTGGTTCTTCTTTGTCAGGTCTTTCATCTATCCGATTAAAGGATGTCCTGCGGAGCTGCGTGGAGGTGTTGCTTAGTGAATATAAAACTCTTAAGATGGACAAATGGGTTAAGATAAAAGCTTATTTCTTTTAAAAAGTAATTTAAAATGTTTATTTACAAGCATTAAGCATGCAAGGGTGGTAATTAACAACCTCAAAAGGAGAACTTATACTGAGAGACGTTTTTTTTTATAATGTCAAAATATTGTATTACATAACTGTGCCCAGCTCCAGCTGTCAAGGCTTTCAGTCAGTATAATATAGAATTTTGTAATTAAACATTTCATTAGATTTCACTAACTGCCACTAATTAAATTTTCCAGGGTAAATGTTCCATATTCCAAAAATGTGAATATCAAGGCAATTTGGCTATATGAAATGCGCCCAAAAGAGGGTCCATCAAAACTGTTCAGTACTCACCATTGAGGCTGCAAGGTGTTGTTGGTCATACATTGCTGAATCAAAAGATAGACCTCGCCGAGCCCAGTATTTGCTAGAGAACATCATCATAGCGGGTTGCATCTTTGGAATTGCTTCTTGACCTCTCTTCCTAAGAAGCCCAACAGGTGATTTAGGGGCTGTCTGGGGCCCCTTCGGATTAATTTGTAGTTCAGAGGACATAGCTGCTGTCTCTTGAGATGTCTTCTTTCCCTGCATTTCATATGGTGAAGATGCTGTTGTCTCAGACGATATCTCCTTAAGTTGCCCCTTCAGAGACCACTGGGAGATCCTCGCATGTGCCACAGTACCTGAAACTCCTCCCCCGGCAGTATCAGCTGGGATTATATAGTGTGACGAATGACGTTAAGAAGGGCCACTGTCTCACAGGGCAGGCGATCACTCATATTAGCTTTTCAGGGGATGGCTGCTCCATTAGGAAATGTTGACACATCCAAGCCCTGATTGAAGTGGATAAGCTCATCTCACCTTCTAGGAGAAATGAATCTAGAGCAAAATAAATCAGATTTCAAGATTTTCAAAAATGAGGCTTCATTTTCCAGCTAGTGGAAGAGAGGGAGATAACAGCAAACAGCACCCCTCATTTTTGTAAGATATATAGGCCTTTGCAGTTTATCACCCAGAAACATGTTCAATATAGAAAGCAAGAAAAATGTAGAGAGATTAAAACCGTAATTTTCATAAAATATGAATTCAAATGCCAGCATTATTTAAGTAAACATCATTGTAAGCAAAATGGGTTGAGGGCAATTGTGGAAACTGCCTTTTGACCACAGATGCATATTGTTCAGGGGTTTTGGTGAATGAGTGCATGTTTGTCAGTGCACAAAATGCTGCCGTTTCTTTAATGAAAGAAGAAGCTAGAAGAGAGATAACATTACTGCGGAGAGCAGTGAGCTATCAGCTTCCTCTGAGGCAATTTCCTGTGGAACAGGAAATGAAAGAGATGGAAGTCGATTCGGTGTGTCTTTGTTGTAGGCTGTGGTTAAAAGACATTTCATCCTCAATCAGTGTTTTCACTGTCTCTCCATTTCATCTGCAAATGTCATAGCGGGCCGACAGAATGAAGACTACAGACTTTGAATCTCAAACCACATTTATATGCCAGCTGGAACTAGTGATTTTGGTTCAAATGGCCAAGCAAATGTTCTCCTTCACTCTCAAAATGATGGTTAAATTGTTTTGTTTTTGAGGGTCTTTTCTCTAAGGTGACCAACTAATTATAAAGTACTTGTAACTAATTAATGTAATGAACAAAATGGCTTATTTCATTGGACAAAAAAAAAAACCCATAAGGCATAATATAAATATAACTCACAATCTAATGGAAGGAAGACCGATTTTAATTTGAATCTGAATTATTTAGGAAAAGGTCAAACTGATAAGGACAAAAAAAAAAACAATATTCAACAATGGATACCCCACCTCTGAAACATTATGAAAACTCTCTCATACAGTGAGAAGGAATGAATATTTCAATGAAAAACAATATGGTACAAGATATTACAAAAATAATGCTTTAGGGATCCTTCTGGATCCTAGTTTTACATTCATATATTTTCTCTGGGATATTTCACAATGTGGCATTTGGTAGCAAATATCTACATGACACCCATTACTGTTCATCTTGCTGCAATACAGGGGCTATAAAATCTGTACTATAAATCTTGTAGTGCTGTACACTAGGAAATGAAGGCTACTTTGCAGCCGTTGTGTGTTGTTTCTTTTAAGTGG